CCGCCTCTTCACCTCTGCTGCTACTCGGGTGCTTTTGCCGGGGCGACTTCCACTGCGCGCTGGCCCACAGTCCTTGGCACACCATGCGCCACGCTGGCTGTCCCACCGCACCTGTTACAGGGGTTTTGAGGAGGATGAAGGAGGAGGAGGAGGAGGATGAGGAGGAGGAGGAGGAGGAGGAGGAGGAGGAGGAGGCTCTTCATCGGACCGATTCTGGCCCCGAAACGTTCGGAACATGAAGATGGGACGGTGGGGGCATGGTCGTGACTTTGCATGTCGTAGCATGACTCGGGCAGGTCCCTGCCGCCGCCGGAACGCGCTGGCCGCCGATGCCGCTCCGCTGGATCTATAGTCGCCGCTGGCGCCGACGCCGACGCCATCTCCGTTGCCTCAGGAGGGTTGGGCGGCCCCCCCCGCGGAGCTTTATTATGAGTGCACCCCGTGGACAGAACCCCCTCCCATACTCCCCCCACCTCCAACTTCTCTTACCCCCCCCCACCCCCCCGCCCTCCTCCTTCCTCTACTCTGTCCCCTCCTCCTCCTCCTCTCCTTCTCCTCCTCCTCCTTCTCCCCCTCCTCCCTCTCCTCCTTCTCTTCCTCCTTCTCCTCCTCTTCCTCCTCCTCCTCCTCCTCCTCCTCCTCCTCCTCCCCCTTTCAGAACGCACGTTAAAAAAAACCGACCTCCTGCTCCTCGATCCGCCTCTTCACCTCTGCTGCTACTCGGGTGCTTTTGCCGGGGCGACTTCCACTGCGCGCTGGCCCACAGTCCTTGGCACACCATGCGCCACGCTGGCTGTCCCACCGCACCTGTTACAGGGGTTTTGAGGAGGATGAAGGAGGAGGAGGAGGAGGATGAGGAGGAGGAGGAGGAGGAGGAGGCTCTTCATCGACCGATCTGGCCCGAAACGTTCGGCATGAAGATGGGACGGTGGGGCATGGTCGTGACTTTTCATGGCGTCGCATGCCTGGGCAGGTCCCTGCCGCCGCCGACGCCGCTGTCGCCGCTGCCGCTGTCTCTGTCGCCGCTGGCGCCGACGCCGACGCCACCGTCTCCGTGCCCGGAGGTTGGGCGGGCCCCCCCGCGGAGCTTTCTGAGTGCACCCCGCTGGACACGAACCCCCTCCCCTCCTCCTCTCCCCATCCTCCTTCCTCGCTCCCCTCCTCCTCCTCCTCTCCTCCTCCTCCTCTCCTCCTCCTCTCCTCCTCATCATCCTCCTCCTCCTCCCTCTCTCCTCCTTCCTCATCCTCCTCCTCCTCCTCCTCCCCGAGGTGGAGTGCGACGGCGCCGTGGCCGTCGTGGAGCAGGGCGCGTGCACCGTCGACGGCGAGCAGAAGCGGGAGGGAGACGTCCTGGGCGAGGACGCGGTGCTCCGCGGCCGCTCTGCTCTCTGCTCTTTCTCTGTCTCTCGCCGAGGAGTCTCGTTGAGGAGAAGGAGGAGGAGGAGGAGGAGGAGGAGGAGGAGGAGGAGGAGGAGGAGGAGGAGGAGGAGGAGGAGGAGGAGGAGGAGCAGGAGGAGGAGGAGGAGGAGGAGGAGGAGGAGGAGGAGGAGGAGGAGGAGGAGGAGGACGCAGTGCTCCGCGGCCGCTCTGCTCTCTGCTCGTTCTCTGCTCTGTCTCTCTCTCTCTCTCTCGCCAGGCAGCCTCTTCGCGCCTTCGGGCGGGCCAGTACCAGGGTGAAGCGTAAAGCGCGCCAGAGCGTTCCAGAACGTCAGCGTTCCGGCCGCGGGGTGCGTTCCAGCGGCTTGCGCGCCGCAGAGGGCACTCCGGGGGTGCCCGGATCGTCCCGAGCGGCCGCTGGAGCCCCGAGGTATGGCCCCAAAAACCGAATTCGGCGGCGCGCGGCGGGGGGGGGATGTGAGAAGGAGGAGGCCTTCTTAGAAGGCGGCGGGACTTCTCGGAGGCCGTCTCGCTTTCTGAGAAGTTCTCTTTGTGTCTTGGGGGACGGGCTCAGAACGCGTCCCAGAAGGCGGGAGGACTGACGAGCCTTCTGAGAAGGCCTGCCCCTTGTCGCTTCCTTCCCTCGCTCGCCGCCGACTGGTGCTCTCCCTCGGCTGCCGCATTCTCGGCTGCAGCTCGGATGCTCGAGGCGAGTTGGCCAGGGGATGGTCTGAACGCCCTGCCGCGTCCTCCTTCCGCCTTTCCTTCTCCTCCTCATCCTTTTTCTCCTGGCCATCCTCTTCCCGCCCCTCCGAAGAGGCAAGTGTTTTCTCAAGCGGTTGCCGTCGGACTACAACTTGTCGGGCCCTTTGGCGGGGCTGTGGAGTGCTCATGTGCTCATGCAACCGGTTATCAAAGTAGTGCAGCTTCCGTGGAGTCGGAGGATGAAGAAGAGGAAGAGGACGAGGGGGATGGGGAGCAAGAGTTGCATCGCTTTTGTAGCGCGATTAGGTTGGCTGTGCTCCGAGTCAGCGAGGTGTTTACCTGGGTTGCACGTGGAAGAAACACGTCTGGCAGGGCACCGCGACATCATGCCGTGACATGCGATAACATTCACGGAAGAAGAGCAATACCGAGGAAGGGAGGAGGAGGAGGAGGAGGAGGAGGAGGAGGAGGAGGAGGAGGAGGAGGAGGAGGAGGAGGAAGGAGGAGGAGGAGGAGAAGAGGATGAGGATGAGGAGGAGGAGGAGGAGGAGGAGCGGAGGAGGCGGCGGAGGAGGGGAGGAGGAGGAGGCGGGGAGGAGGAGGGGAGGAGGAGGAGGAAGCGAGGAGGAGGCGGAGAGGAGGAGGAGGAGGAGGAGGAGGAGGAGGAGGAGGAGGAGGAGGAGGGAGGAGGCCTCCCCTCGCGGAGGTGCTGGGAATCGAGGGCACGGTCGCCGTCGGGTGCGAGGACGGCTCGTGCCACCTGTCCCTGCTCACGCGCGAGTGCTTCTGGAGCCGAGCGAGGGGCCCGCCGACGCCTGCCAGCCAGCTGGCTGCTGTGCATCCCTCTTCATTCCCAGCCTTCCTGTGTTGTGGGGTCCTCGTTTTGAACAGACAGCGCCCCGCATTCTTCCTCCTCATCACCTCCTCCTCCCCCCCCTTCTCCAAGCCCCATGCCCCATGTCGGCACACCCCTCACACGCTTTGTGGCCCCAGGGGGAGCTCCGAGGAAGGTACTGGCGGCACGGTCCGCATGGCAGCTCCCCTCGAGATTGACTCAGCACCCCCATAGGTCCCAGCGGCAGGGTCCGCATGGCGGCCCCGCGCTCATTTCCGCGCACCCCTCACACGTTTCGTGGCGCCATAGGGCGCTCCACTGGAGGCTCCAGTGGCAGGGTCCGCAAGGCGGCTCCGCGCCCCTTTCGGCACACCCCTCACGCGTTTCGTGGCTCCGAGGAAGCTTCACCGAAGGCGCCAGCGGCGGGGTCCGCATGGCGGCCCCGCATCCGATTCGGCGCACCCCTCACACGTTTCGCGGTCCCATATGGGTCTCCACTGGAGGCCGCAGCGGCGGGGTCCACAGGGCGGCCCCGCATCCATTTCGGAATACTCCTCACGCGCTTCGTGGCCCCGTAGGAGGCTCCACCGAAGGCCTCAGCGGCAGGGTCCGCACGGCGGCCCCTCCCCATGTCCGTACACCCCTCACACGTTTCGTGGCCCCATCAGAAATTCCAAGGAAGGCCTCAGCGACAGGGTCCGTATGGCGTTTCCGCACCCGATTCGGCACATCCCTCATTCGTTTCGCGGTCCCATGGGGAGCTCCACCGGAGGCTGCAGCGACAGAGTCCGCATGGCGGTCCCGCACCCAGTTCGGCACGCACCTCACGTTTCGTGGCCCAATGAGGAGCTCCACCGAAGGCCCCAACGACAGGGTCCGCATGGCGGCCTCGCTTTCGATTCGGCACATCTATCACACGTTTCGTGAGGCCAGGGGGCTCCACCGGATGCCCCAGCGGCAGGATCCCCACTCGCTTCGTGGTCCACTCGCTTCGTGGTCGTTAATGAGAGAGCTCCACCCAAGGCCGCAACGGCAGGGTCCGCATGGCGGCCCCGCCACCTCACACGTTTCGTGGCCTCATGAGGAACTCCACCGAAGGCCGCAGTGGCAGAGTCCGCATGGCGGCCCCGCACCGCACCCATCTCCGCACACCCCTCACACGTTTCGTTTCCCCAGCGGAAAGAGCGCGTTCTGTGGTCGCTTGGGGGGGGGGGGGTTGAAACTGGACCCCCCCCCCTCCCTGGATGGTGGGGGGGGGGTTTCGAACCCTCCCCCCCCCCACCCCCTCCCGTGACGGAGGGGGGGGGGTTCGACCCGAAATGGAACGAATTACAACCGACTTGTCCCAATTCCAACCGTTCGGAGCGAATTGCAACCAGAAAAAAGACCAATTCCAACCACAAATGAGACCAATTCCAACCCAACCAAAAATGAGACCAATTCCAACCACGGATGGGATCTTCGGAATTCCTCTGGATCCCTTCGAATTCTTCGGAATTCCTCAGGATTCTCTAGGACTCCTTCGGAATTTCTTGGGATTCCTTCGGAATTCCTTACGATTCTTTCGGAATTCCTTAGGATGCTTTCGGAATTCCTCAGGATTCCTTTCTGGAATTCCTCCGGATTCCTTTGGAATTCCTTACTACTACTACTACTACTACTACTACTACTACTACTACCACCACCACCACCACCACCACCACCACCACCACCACCACCACCACCACCACCACCACCACCACGACTACTACTACTACTACTACTACTACTATTACTACTACTATTACTACTACTACTATTACTACTACTACTACTACTACTACTACTACTACTACCACTACCACTACCACTACCACTACTACTACTACCACTACTACTACTGCTATTACTACTACTACTACTACTACTACTTTTACTACTACTACTACTACTACTACTACTACGACTACTACTACTACTACTACTACGACGACGACGACGACGACGACGACTACTACTACTACTACCACTACTACTACTACTGCTACGACTACTACTACCACTACTACTACTACTACTGCTGCTGCTGCTACTACTACTACTACTTCTTCTACTTCTACTACGACTACTACTAGTTCTAGTTCTAGTTCTAGTACTAGTATTACTACTACTACTATTACTACTACTACTACTGCTGTTACTACTACTACTACTACTACTACTGCTACTACTACTACTACTACTAGAATTACTACTACTACTACTACTACTACTACCACTACTACTACTACTACTACTACTACTACAACTACTACTACTACTACTACTACTACTACTACTACTGCTACTACTGCTACTACTACGGCTACTACTGCTACTACTACTACTACTGCTGCTACTGCTGCTGCTATACTACTACTACTACTTCTACTACTTGTTACAACCTAATACTTACTACCACTACTACTATTTACTACTACTAGTACTAGTACTAGTACTAGTACTAGTAGTAGTATTACTACTACTACTACTACAACAACAACAACTACTACTACTACTACTACTACTACTACTTACTACCACCACTACTACTACTACTACTACTCCTACTACTACTACTACTACTACCACTCCTCCTCCTACCTACGACTACTACTACTGCTACTACTACTACTACTACTACTACTACTACCGCTTACCACTACTACCACCACCACCACCACCACCACTACTACTACTACTACTGCTATTATTTCTATTACTACCACTAATAATCATACTATTTCGAATTCTTCTACGGCGACGACTACTACCTCTACTACTACTACTACTCCCACTACTACCAGTACTACGACTCGTACGACTACTACTACTACTACGACTACTACTACTACTACTACTGCTACTACTACTACTACTACTACTTCTACTACTACTACTACTACTGCTACTACTACCACGATTACGACTACGACACCGACTACG